ATAAATATTATAGATTAAAACAAGTGGATAATGATATTTTGTAAATTAATTAATATTTTGTCCTTTATTTACGTCAAAAATGCTGATCTTGCTGTTTTGGGTACTAATTTTCGCTGACTTGGTAGTTTTTTAGACAAACGCGTGTTTGAAGTACGTTTGTTTACGTATATTTTGCACGTGTTTAGATGGATATTTATTATATTTAATGTGACTTCCTTTCAATACTTCAAATTGAAGCTTTGGCTCATTATTGGCATCAAAATGTGACGTTTGTTTGTTCTCCTCAAGGTAAGCAAAATAGATAACTTGAAGACAATGAGTTAATGAATGTATTATTTAATTGCTATTACATTTTACCCTGAATGAATACGTCAATATTGTGGGTCACAATAATTTAAGTTAAAACTAACAAGAGGGGGCTATAATTAGCGACCTAATTACCAAATACAATGTTTGCATTATAATACCGCGTTCAAAGCCATAGATACATTAGGGCTGTAAAATATCGCATAAACCAGTAAATAAAACCAGGCTTTTTTGTGTTGTCGAACACTATTTTGCTTGTGACTCATTATAGGATGGATCAAATTCTGCGTCAGTACTGTGCAATATGTAAAGAATCAATTGTGAACAACGGGGTGGCTCTAACATCTATAGGGATAGATGGTATAAACCGAGCTAGTAAAGAAAGAGGCGATACAGTTGACGTCCGTGAAGGTGACAGCGTTCACATAGCATGTGGGAAACGATACACAAATCCATAATATATTTCTAAATCGCTACGTCAGAAGGAAGAGCGTCATCCCGTACCAAGAACCCTTCACTCACAAAGTTCAGTTCAGTTCTGGCTGTCATTGATTTGTCATTGGATTTATGGAGCATTTTTTTAAGTTCCCGTTTTTATCTTTCAATCTTACTACCAGCGTTGGGCCAATGTATTTTCCCATTTTACAGCAGTAGTAGTTTTCAAGGCAGAACAAATTGTTACATTTATTTCTATACAAGCTAGTTATGTAATAATTTGATGGACAACGACTCCATCTTCTACTGTCAAATGATCGTCCGACGTCCTTTTGCTGGCAGTGTCCCCACTGCTTTACTTGCGTTTTAGGCCGACAGCATAAAGCTTTTTCAATATTGGACAATGTATTTCCAGATGATCTGTAGAGCCCAGCCATGTAGTAACCATTATTACAATACACCCAACCCTTCCTGTCGAATTCCACCCCCCAATCATGATGATAACAATCGCGATCTTTTGAAGAGGAATATAGATATGCAGGAGCATCATAACAGTCTACTTGTTCTATTAGATAAATTGGATCAGACTTGATGCGTGTATTTCTGTACATTCCAGTCATGTATGTTCCATGTCCACATGTTGACCATCGTCTTGAATCAAAGCTAGATTAATAAGGCATGGATTCATACGAAGTTGACATATCTTATAGATGCGACAAACACAGAAATCGTAGATGACATCATCTCAACACAAGACACGTCCAATGAAATTCAGCGCTTGGAAGGTAATACTATAGCACCAAAGAAGGGTCAATAACCCTTACTAACAAATAATACCAACATGCCATTTTTTTGCTTTCCAAGGAGTGCCTTAAGACAATCAAATTGATGAAAACAAGAACTTCTTGAATCAATGCCAAGACCTTTACGAAGACTTGATCGAGAAAAGAAAAACAGCTCAAGAAGTGGCTGCTTCAAATAAGCTGAAAGAAATCGAGGGAAAGGTTAGCAACAGGCGAAGAGAGCTGAAAGCCAAAAGTCGAACCGCCACTCTCTGGCTACAATATCAAGAGATGATTGACATTGTGCGTGGATTTATTAAAGCTGAACGAACTGGAAATTGGGAGATGCACCTCCAAGTCCTATCAAGAATTTTACCATACTTTGCTGCATCTGGCCACAACCTTTACACAGAAAGTTCTACCCTCTATTTACAATCTATGATGAATCTTAAATATGAGTTTCCTGAAGTCTACAAGTCATTTTCAGATGGTTTCCATGTTGTCAGAAGGAGTGAACGTTACTGGGCTGGCCTGTCCACTGATTTAATTATAGAACAAGTTCTTATGAGAACTGTTAAAACCACAGGTGGCCTGACCCGCGGAAGTGGAATGACCGAACGGCAACGTGTCGTGTGGGTATTGTCTACTCCAGCATGTGCCCAGCTTAGCTCAGCTATGCAAGACCTCATTTGTGAACACAGCGAACAAAACAAAGATATGTCCCAAAGTCGACAGAAAAGAGATATGGATGATACCATGCTCATACTTAAAACGCTTGCATCAGAAGGAAAGAATCCATTTATTCAAGAATCAGTTCTCAAGAATATAATGACAGGTGTAAACGCAGATGATTCCGTTGATGTTGATGAATCTCGAAGTAAAGGAGAAAACATATTGTCAAAGATGGCTGGTACAAAAGTATGCGACTACACATTTACACGTAAAGATCAGGCCATTACTCTTGCTGCAGGCTCATCAGTAAAGATAAACGGAGTAAAAGTACATGACGATCCACAGCTTCTGTTTCAGAGGTTAGTCTTTGCATGTAATATCGTTGATGATTTAGAAGAAGTATTTCAATACGAGCTTTGTAGTTATCCAGCAGCCTTGTTCGATTCCCCGCTAACGTTGCGAAAGCCTCAGAAGTCTAATCTTGCAGACACATTGTGGGAAATGCTGTCACCTGATGCTAAGGCCGGCCCGGTCGGCGAAACCAAATTCGTCATTGATGGAGGAGCTCTTCTTCATCGCGTACCATGGCCAAAGAAAGCAACCTTTCAAGAATTGTGCCAGAAGTACTGCCACTATGTAAAACAGAAATATGGGGCAGGAAGTTGTATTGTTTTTGACGGTTATGATAACCCATCTACTAAGAACATGGCGCAACAACGAAGATCATCCGGAAAGGTTGGGGCAACAGTGTCATTCGAGGCTGACATGAAGATAACAATGAAAAGAGATGTATTCCTTGCTAATATACACAATAAGAAACGACTTATAACTACTCTTCGAAATTATCTGGATTTGAATGGCTGTACTACATTCCAAGCCGATGGCGACGCTGATCTTCTCATAGTAAAGTCAGCTGTTTCAAGTGCCATGAAATCTCCTACCGTTCTTGTTGGAGGTGAAACAGATCTTCTTGTTTTAATGTGCTATTACGTCAAAGTGGATGAGGGATGTGGTCTTTATTTTCGTCCAGAACCAAAGAAAACAACTAAACGTAGAACGGAAAGAGTATGGAACATGAGAATAGTGAGATCAGAGCTGGGTGAATCTCTGTGTAAAAAAATTTTGTTTCTTCATGCTATTGCTGGTTGTGACACGACATCCCGGCCCTTTGGCCTTGGAAAATCGGCAACTCTTAAGAAATTCACAGATTCAAACTATTTCCGTGAACAAGCATCAGCATTTGAAGTTTCAAACGTCAGCATGAATACGGTTATCCAGAGTGGTGAAAATGCCTTGGTCTGCATGTATGGAGGAAAAAAAGGCGAGACTCTAGACAGTTTGCGCCACAGGAAGTACTACGAGAAGGTGTGCACTAAAGGCCGAATGGTAGAGCCCAAAAGTCTTCCCCCAACATCTAGTGCAGCCAAGTATCATTCATTGACAGTCTTTCTTCAAGTTAAGCAATGGCAGAGTCAAGACGGAGGATTGTTGATTGATGCATTTGGTTGGAAAATGTGTGGTTATGTTATCGTACCGAGAACAACTGATCTTCCAGCAGCTCCTGAAAACTTGCTTAATATGATTTGATGCAACTGTACCACAAATTGTTCAACTGCAAGATGTACCTGTCGTAAAAATGGACTTCACTGCACAATGGCATGTGGTCAATGTAGAGGTACTGGTTGCACTAACAATGGTGTTGATGTTGAAGATGATTAACAAAAGTATGAAATGACAGAAATGTCTTTGTAAATCAAAGTACACTATATCAACCATATGTAAATTTAGTGACACTCTTGTATTACTATGTAACCTAAAGGATTCCTTTTTTTCGGTCGTTGAAGACTTAACATGATTTTTAATAGCCACGCTGCAGATTTATATAATCAAATATGATATTCGTTAGGTCAAAGCAGTGTTATTTTGTAATTCTTGTTTATAGCCTCGTTTTCATGTCATAATTTCACAGAAAACATTATTTTACGAAGTTGCCGGCCTCAGATCATGTGGGACTTTTAATATGTTGTTCTGTACATGAAAGGAAAGATATTTTTGAAGAGTGAGCTTTTGTGGGAATTAGTTCAAGGTTCAACCATAAATCTACTGGACTAATGGGCAACGTCCTTCTTAAGGCTTCCCTGTCAGGCCATAAAATAAGAGGGCTTAATCGATTATACAAACAAACAAACAACATTTGTATTCCGGCCAGTATTAATCCCCGCCAGGGGAGTTGACCGGTCCATGAACTTTTCTACGCCAAACATCTCTATCTCTCGCCATATCTCTCGTTATACCCATCGCCTTCATATCACTGTTCACAGCATCCATCCATCTCTTTCTCGGTCTACCTCGTTTGCGGACTCCATCAACATTCATATGCAACGTTCTACGAATTTCAGCACTTTCGTAATCGATTATAAAGAACATTAATTACTTGTAAGAAAATTCTTGATACAGTTCCCTTGTTGATGTTTCCAAATCGATAAGCCAAATCTACACCAGTTAAATTAAGTCGCAGTTTCATAACTGTTAAAAGCAACTGTCTAAATGGTGACAAAGAGCATTTGGGAGAATGCATAAGGTAGGGGCGTACCAGTTCCAGTGTTGCTGACAAGATCTTCCAATTTGGCAGACCAGTGTAAAAGAGGACTTTTTCGTCATCATTTAAGAAGGATTTCTCGTCAAGCGTCATGTCACTTATCTTGTTCTTTAACTCACGATTTTCTTAGGTCAAGCGATTGATCTCGCTCTTCATTGCAGTTATTTTATCCAAACTCAGTTCTGTTTGTGAATATTTGTTGTTCGATTCTGACTCTGACAATGAAGCAGAGTGGCTCCGTGTTCTTCGTCTACAAGATGGTTTGTCAAGGTCGATTGAGTCACTGCTGACAGTACTGTTTCAATGGATTCACTTCTTTTTCGTTTTTCATTTCTCTCCGAAATACGAGCATAGCGATCGACATCAACTTTTTCCACATATGTATGTCCAAGGTTTTGAGATGGAGCCCAGTCTGGATTAGTTTGGTCCGTTAAAGCCGATGGTTTCCCTGTCGTTGTAAACAAAACAACAAATGGTATAAAATGACACAAACGAACACAACAAAGCTTTTTTTAACTCATTGGCTTACCAGTAACAAAATGAAGGCTGCACACTCGTAAATACGTGCATTTAGAACCGTCAATGTCTGCCCGACGATATAGGAGACCCTTGATATAGGGCTAACCTCTGGTTTTCCTTTTTCTTAATAATGATGTATTTACATGTTGTTCTGAAATAAAATATTGTATGTATGACGAATTCTTCGAAGCCACAAAGAACGACGTTCCTTTTGTAAATCTTGCAATATTTTGCTCGCATTGGTTTTCACAGCTGGTATGCGATAAAAACTTAATTCCTTATCCCTATCAGCACGCTTTGAACAGCCATAAATTGCGCAAAAGTTAACCATCCTTAACAATAATATTGCTTTGTTATTTATATGTGGCGTTTGCTTGTCCTCCAGATGTAACGTCACCGGGTTGTGACGTCACATGCAATGGGTCTATTTCAAGGCCATACACTGGACTATAAACAACAAGGCTTTCTGTTCCACTTAACACCAGTGTGATCATAAGCCTAAACTTAAATAATATGGCTTCAGAAGACGCTAAATCGTCAGGCCATCACGTAATAGACATTCTCTGGAGCTATAGCAAATCATTTGCATTGTTTACTGCTTTAAATAATGGAGTATTTGAATACTTAGAGAAGAATGAGGGGGGAAGAACAGCTCAGCAGACAGCGAACGACCTTTGTCTTGACGAAGTCGCTACGACTATTTTGCTTGATAATTGTACCAGTTCTAATCTCTTGGTGAAAGAAATACCTAACGAAAATATGGAGGAAGCTATTTACCAAAATTCAGATGAAACAAAGCGACATCTTTTACCTCAAAGTCCTGAGTCACTCTACAAATACGCCATATTTGAGGCTCGTGTAGGGAGCAAATTGTTCGTGAATTTTGAGCATGCTTTAAGAGAAGGTACAAGTCAATGGCAGCGTACATTTGGTATGACATCAGAAGAAGCCTTCAACAATTTATACAAAAACAGGGAAAGTTTAATTGAGTTTGAAGAAGCTATGAAAAGTCACATCGAAATAGGCATAAGCTCGATGCTTGAAACGTTTGATCTCTCGGGATTCTCACATCTTTGTGATCTTGGAGGTGATAACCTTAAATCAGTTCAATTTCCATGCGTTCGATAATCATTTACTGATTAATTCAAGGTGCTGGTGGTGCGTTATCATATGCTGCCTTGAAAGCATATCCAGGAATGAAGTCGACTGTGTTTGACTTAAAACCTGTTATTGATGTTGCTGATCATTTCAGACCTTCGTTTGAAGAATGTCCAAACCGAGATAATGTTTCTTTCGTAGCTGGAGACTTCTTTAAAGATGATTTCCCTCCAGCAGACCTTTACAGTATGACATGTATTCTCCATGATTGGGAAGAAGAAAAAGTTGATCTACTTTTAAGCAAAACCTTTCAAAGTATTCCGTCGGGTAAGTCTTAGACAGCCATGCAAAATAATTCCTGGAAATTGATCTCATTAATGCTAAAATACTCCGTTAAAAGGCAGTTTATATTTGGGATGATCATTTGATGAAATATAGCTAAAAACATTTTGAAGACATTAAGAACTGCTTCATTGTTTAACCTTTGGCTTTTCACACAAACTTTTCAAATTGATTCAAAATCGATTCAAATCCGTATTAACAGGGACAGCAGAAGATTAATAATTGGGGGAATTAAGGAGCTGATTTTCTGATGTTTTATTTTGATAGTTTTAATTAAAATCAACTGGGTTTACGAAACATTAGATATAAATATATGAATATGAGACCCTCTCCCCCCAATTATCAATCGTATGATGCCTTTCATAATCAAGCATTGTCAATTTTAATTCTCGACTTAAATTTATGCCAGCCGTTTTCCTGAAATGATTATGTGGCAGAAAAGCATATGTGTACACTGCAAGACATTTTTTCCGTACAAATCCACTGGAATTTCTTGTCCATGTGTTGCATGAGATAGAAGTCAACAAAAACAAATCTCGTGTTGATTTATAACGAAGACAAGCCTATGGCTGCAAATACAACAAGCGGAACTCCTTAAAAATGACTTTTATATATTGTTACACATAAAAGCTAAATTTTAATGTTTATTTTTGTTCTACTGCAACATTATACTACCTTGCAAGTAATCCACTATGCCATGGACAAATGACTTTAGAAGAGACATTATTCTCTTTAAGCTGCAATGGATGAAAGTTGCTTTAACAGGACCTGACGTTTGACCAGTTATATTCTTCTATAACAGTTTAGATTTGCAGCGTAGATTTAACGGTCAGATCCATGAATTGCCAAACTCGAGGAGGCTTGGGATAAAAAATGACTACCATTATCAACGGTATTCGAAAAATCCGCAGTATTTATCCTTGACCAGACGAAAAATTCATAAGAGATAAAATAAGCAGATTATTTGTTGATGTTAATAAAATTAATGCAGTGATGTTTGATTTTAAGGTGGAGGTATTTTAATTGGCGAAATAATTCTTGATGATGACAAACGCGGACCATGGCATGGTCTATCATTTAGCATGTCTATGTTAACAATTTGCGCAAGAGGACGCGAGAGGTCTGGAAAAGAATATGAGCAACTTCTCCGAAAGCATGGCTATGTTCAAATAAAGTATAAACAGGGTCAATTGCCGTTTCGTCTTGGAGCAGTTTTTGCAAAAAAGCCTTAGATTTATTGCATTCTTTTGCTAGTGCAAATTCAAACATTTAACGTAGCTACTCATTTTCACAATCAGGCAAAAGAAATGTTAAAGCAGTTTCCTAAATTTAAAAAAATTAATACGAAAAAAGAACAAAGTATATATAAGTCATTCATACAATGATAATTAATTTTGCTGTCATCCAGTTGTGTAATCCTAGAGTATTATCATCGATTATACTTTTGAAACATTACGTCTGTGCCCGGTTTAATTTCCCATTTACCCTGCTAATGTTTATGATCTTTTTGTGGTGAGTTAACAATATTTGCATATGCCAAAATCCATGTAGTTGCTGCAGCATCTCAGTGTACACTAAATGGATGATGTGAGATAAAAAGATCGAAGTATTGACTGGTGATGTTTACGCCATTGTTATAGTAGTTAAAGGAAAAAGTGAAAGAATAAAACACGACTCCTGGTATTCTTTCCAGCAATAAAATTTCAATTTAATTTCCATCAAGAAGGTGAAAATTTAAAAGTGTTGTTGGCAAATGAAATTTTCACGTCGATTTAAAGTCAGAATTAGAAAAGGAACAAGTGGCTGGTTCACAATGTATGTAAATATGCGCCACAAACTGGTTGAGACGATAATTTTACAAAGAAGCAAACTTACATCGTCTTTTTTTGCAAAACACTGAAACTTTACCCCAGATTAAAAGATACTCAATTTTTCAACCTACCTCTATTTAGCTTTGGCCATAATTTGCAGATTGTTTGAACCTGGCCTGTTGCATAAATTCATCTGAATTAACGTTTCATGAATTTATATTTGCACAAAGTTTGAGCAAAGATTTGTTGAAAAGGCACATGTTTTTGTTAGAAACAAAATTGGGTTTCACAATATGTTAATGTGTTGTTCAAATTTTACCACGTGATTTTGCTTGCAATAGATTAATGGGCATTTTCACCATTGATTAAAAACGTTGGTAAAACTTTACAAAGCCATAAAGGATTCAAACAAATAAAATTATTCGACTCAAAACCCGTTCACCCTAGATTCTTTAATAATAAGCGCAATCCAATAGCTTCAAAGTGTCAAAATCCTACCTTAAAAAATTAAGAACTTGCTGTCCTTGATGCATTTAAAGAACCATTTTCTTTGTGATTCTAACCAATCGTTTTACAGTCTGCCTATATGATGCATTTTTCATTTTCTGCAACTATACCTTTTTTGGATTTTCCACCATTCTGCTATTCCATCGTTCAGTAGATATAGAATGCGGAACAGAATTGCCGGAAAATTAAGGAAAAGGAGAAAAATGAATTGAATAAAATGTGGAATATGTGCAAAAAAAGCACAATTCACATTAAAAGTATACTTTTCTCAAATTGTTGGGCATTTTTATTCTCATTCTTCGTCCATTGATTTAATTGTCTTCATATATACACATACATCGGACAAACTAACATGGAGGACGATGTCGCAAATAAATCTCACGGTCTATGAAGATTCTAATGCTGAACATCATATCTAGTTAGTCGGTTTAGTATTTTACACCTGTCTTTATGACGGAAGTATAGTGTAAGTAATATGAATTATTTCAAAATGCAAATGAAGGATTATAAATAAATTTTGTTTTCGCTAATAACTGTTAACACTAAAAAAAAATTTGAAATTTGAGTGGGTTGAAAACACCTCAGTTTGAAAAATGTTTCGTCTTGCTCAGCATGAGCAGCACGACCTCTAGCTACGCCAGTCAAGTGTTACAATTAGTAAAAATAAGGTCGTTTTAATGCATCAAAACAACTACTTCGAATTTAATTGTCCCTCCAAAGGCAAAAAAGCACATAATACATTTAAGTATTATTCTCATACGAAGATAGATGTAGTTTATTGATTGAAGTAGTGTCATCTCTATAAAATCTGACACCAATCACATTTTTAAAGTTTTCGTTAACTCTTCGATGTAATTATAACATTCTTTCCATCATTCAGCTTCACGTGAATCATGAAAAAAGAAAATTCTAGTTTCCTGGAGAACTTGTTTTCTCAGTATCATATGAAAATCACTTCATAAATTCTTTGGATGTTAATTGCATGCAAAACATTAAATCCATTATATCATATTTCAAAAGTTAATTAAGTTACGTTATTTTGCAAAATCATTTGGAAGACCTTGACAGTACCCTACCTTATACAACACACGGATAAAAATTGCAGTGGGTTTGTACAGAAAAAGATCTGGCGACTTACCAATACGCTTTAGTTTTACGCCATATCATATTTTCAGTGAAACAGCGGGCATAAGTTTGAGTAGAAGACTAATCTTACTTTATCAAACATGACGACAAAAAACTCAATAGTGGCTGAAGCAATGCTGGGAGATAAATTGGCAAGATGAGGTACAAATACAAGACTATTTAGTTTTCAGCATGGTCTTCGGAGAAGTAATTTTCTCGACAGTTATTATGGGAGCAAAATATTTACCCGATCTGAAGTATCTTCTTCTTTACTGGATCAAGAAATAGCTCAGAAAACAACGGCAAGTGAAGATGTTTTTGAGGAACAACAACTTAACTAGAAAATTTTGTAAATAATGAATATGAAGAGAGCGAGAAATCTTGGAAATTTTAAATTAACTAAACACTCTAATTGCATTTTGTAATCTTAGACATTTCAAGACTGGTGAGGTATATGAAGTTAGCAGACAGACTCTCTTTCCAAGCAAGTGTAACAGAACCCTGCCCTGAATAGACCATTCCCAATGGTTAAGGTAAAAAAGGCATTTAGTATATAATCCTAAATGACTTTTTTGTGAATATGTTTTCATTAGTTGTAAATAAATGTTTGACTAGAATGTCAATTTCTTGTGCCGCATAGCAATTTTGTGCCTGTCTTTAAAAAAAACACACTCCAATTACACTATGTCTATGAAAGTATTTTCATTGAGTGAGAATGAACAAAATAACTACTCAAAGATATTTCCTTTCCAAAATGCTCTTTTCTTTATTTGCATGTACTTAAAATCTTTATGCTTTACCAAATAACTACTATATGACTAATAAAAAATAATAATAGGATCAATAATTGGATCACAACAAGATCATGATTCGCTGAATATTTCCTCCCAATAACATTGCTGATATAACAGACACTGAAATATTTTCGCTTAAAATTTCTAGCTGAAATTAGAAAGTTTTCCATGACTTTCCAATTACGCCAATCTTTTTACATTCTTCTATCAAACAATGAACAAAAGAAGCTATAGCTTTTGGGTTGTGATTATTTAATCCAGTGAATTCGATATGTATTGAAGTTTATAGTTGATCACTTGTATTGTGCAATCCATCCGCCGTGGCTCACGGTAGCTCACGTGACTACAGCTCGCTTTGTGATTGGTTTGGAATCCTGCAGCATTGCTGAAGATTACTATGTTTAGCAACATTGTGAAATTTTTTGCAAGCTGACCGTGTCAAATTTAAGCTGTGATCGCAACTTCGAATTTACGAACGTTTTTGGGCAAATTAGATAAAATTCGGCATGCCTTCGGCAAATTAACAGCTCAGCGTTAAACTGGATGGATTTTACTAATAAGCAAGATGTTTATTTTGAAGTTTTATGCTTTTTCCAAAAACCATACCAAAAAAACAGTAAATTATGAAAAATATAAATCTAATCATTTCATTAACGACATATTTATGGTCAATTTTCAAAGAAATACAACAAAATTTCTAATCTTATTCTTAAAATGTAATCTCAAATGTTTGAAAATTCTGACCGTGGTTCGAGTCAATTTGGCCATTGTCTCGATCCGCGCCTGATTACACGTAAATTATCTATGGAGCGAGCTTTAAGTAAAATGACATAATGATTATGTACATGCTTTAATACATACGCAGTGAGTTTTAAGCATGGCACCATGTTATGAGGAATTGCATTGATTTTAATTTAGATAAATGTAAGAAAAAATTAGTAATTATTGAATTTGACCAATATTTTACTAACAATAAATATAAGGAGACAAGTCTTCATTCCTAACCCTTATCCTAAACCCAAACGAAACATTAATTAAAGTCATATTCCTTATCGATACCCTAACCAGAAACCAGAAACCCAACCCTACCCCAGTCCCAACCCTCTAACAGTAATCAAGTCTAATCTTAAACTTACCCTAAACCAAACAAAATTATTAACCCGAATTATAAACCTAACCATGCCTTAATAGTAAATTCAAAACTTTAAATGAATGTTTTCTGAATATTTTAGGTTTGTATTTGTGGATGGACATGTTGAATTTCTCTAGTTATATTCGTGGAATTTACAGAGTGATGAATGAAGTTAAGGAGTAGAATTATTAAATGTTTTCTTTAAGATAACGTCTGTATGCTGAATTTTACTTAAGAATGGCGCGGGTCCATAGAGGCCAAGGTTTAAACTTGCTCATGTATTAGTTGCTAATACGGTGCTCATGTGTTAGTTGCCCTAGGCTTACTCCCTTGGAAATTATCTAAAAATTTCTGAAATGCCCTTTCCAGGCCTAATGCGTGAGAGTTGGTATGTATGTTTGTGGCAGTAATATATCCTTTTCAGCCTGGTTTTCACTTGCGCTATAAGCATAAGGACAAGTAAAGACAAAATAAAATATATAAGAAGGCAATCAAGCAACTGACACATGTTAAGATATGCTCTCATATTCTAATTAGTAAATAATTAAGTCAAGTGTAACTAACTAAATGATTATTTTAAGGGATACTTATGTGCAAGAATAACAATATTTTTTATAGTTCCAAATAGCTTTCCGTTGATTTTAAATTAACCATATTTAGTAAAGAGACAAATATATCCATACGTAATATCTTGAATAAATAGAAGTGGTTTAACAATTGTACGATAGATCGTAGACCATAGACATTGACGTTGAACATTAAATGTGATCATAAAAGTTATCTGTGATATCTCTATTTGTTGGTGTAAGTCAATATATACTAAAGAAGGTAGATGGCTACATAACAAAAACTAACAACACAAGCATAAGCATTAGCACAGCAGTTTTACATAGTGTAAACTAGACTTTACTGTTGTAGTATAATTAAAGCAAATCATTCGTAGTTGATTTAAATATTATGATACAATTGTTAAGTCTGATAAACAGATCATTCCTGTTTATAAGATTAAACGTCACTTGATAAATCTGGCATAAATAAATAGTATGGTATTGTTTTTAAAAATTCAGGAATTTTCAGCGTATAGTATCGCTTAACATTGATTTTGTTTTGTTAAAAGTTGAAATCATCCTGTAATGATGTAATATACATCCACTGCGTAACTGCGTTTTGACTAAAATGGCATGCGGATGCGCAGTCAATTACTACGTGTGGACGGGTATTCTACAATTCCCGCCTGTAGTATTTAATACATAGCTAATGGCAATGCTGCATTGGTTGACCTCCAGATGCACTTAGCAAAGATTGCTATGATATTAAAGACTTAGATGATAGAGTTCTTATATTTCAAGGCCATACACTGGACTTTAAACAACAAGGCTTTCTGTGCCATTTAACACCAGTGTGATCATATGCCTAAACCTAAATAATATGGCTTCAGAAGACGCTAAATCGTCAGGCCATCACGTAATAGACATTCTCTGGAGCTATAGCAAATCATTTGCATTGTTTGCTGCTTTAAATAATGGAGTATTTGAATACTTAGAGAAGAATGATGGGGGAAGAACAGCTCAGCAGACAGCGAACGACCTTTGTCTTGACGGAGTCGCTACGACTATTTTGCTTGATAATTGTACCAGTTCTAATCTCTTGGTGAAAGAAATACCTAAAGAAAATATGGAGGAAGCTATTTACCGAAATTCAGATGAAACGAAGCGACATCTTTTACCTCAAAGTCCTGAGTCACTCTACAAATACGCCATCTTTGAGGCTCGTGTACTGAGCAAATTGTCGGTGAATTTTGAGCATGCTTTGAAAGAAGGTACAAGTCAATGGCAGCGTACATTTGGTATGACATCGGAAGAAGCCTTTAACAATTTATACAAAAACAGGGAAAGTTTAATTGAGTTTGAAGAAGCTATGAAAAATCGCATCGAAATATGCAAAAGCTCGTTGCTTGAAGCGTTTGATCTCTCGGGATTCTCACATCTTTGCGATCTTGGAGGTGATAATCTTAAATCAGCTTAATCTTCCATGCGCTCGATACTTATTTACTGATTTATTTTAAGGTGCTGGTGGTGCGTTATCATATGCCGCCGTGAAAGCATATCCAGGAATGAAGTCGACTGTGTTTGACTTAAAACCTGTTATTGATGTTGCTGATCATTTCAGACCTTCGTTTGAAGAATGTCCAAACCGAGATAATGTTTCTTTCGTAGCTGGAGACTTCTTTAAAGATGATTTCCCTCCAGCAGACCTTTACAGTATGACATGTATTCTCCATGATTGGGAAGAAGAAAAAGTTGATCTACTTTTAAGCAAAACCTTTCAAAGTCTTCCGTCGGGTAAGTCTTAGACAGCCATGCAAAATAATTCCTGGAAATTGATCTCATTAATGCTAAAATACTCCGTTAAAAGGCAGTTTATATTTGGGATGATCATTTGATGAAATATAGCTAAAAACATTTTGAAGACATTAAGAACTGCTTCATTATTTAACCTTTGGCTTTTCACACAAGCTTTTCAAATTGATTCAAAATCGATTCAAATCCGTATTAACGGGGACAGCAGGAGATTAATAATTGGGGGAATTAAGGAGCTGATTTTCTGACGTTTAATTTCGATAGTTTTATTTAAAATCAACTGTGTTAACGAAGCATTAAATATAAATTTATTAATATGAGACTCTCTCCCCTCAATTAACAATCGTATGTTGCCTTGCATAATCAAGCATTGTCAATTTTAATCCTTGACTTAAATCTATGCCAGCCGTTTTCCTGAAATTATTATGTGGCAGAAAAGCATATGTGTACACTGCAAGACATTTTTTCCGTACAAATCCACTGCAATTTCTTGTCCATGTGTTGCATGAGATAGAAGTCAACAAAAACAAATCTCGTGTTGATTTATAACGAAGACAAGCCTATGGCTGCAAATACAACAAGCGGAACTCCTTAAAAATGACTTTTATATATTGTTACACATAAAAGCTAAATTTTAATGTTTATTTTTGTTCTACTGCAACATTATACTACCTTGCAAGTAATCCACTATGCCATGGACAAATGACTTTAGAAGAGACATTGTTCTCTTTCAGCTGCAATGGATGAAAGTTGCTTTAACAGGACCTGACGTTTGACCAGTTATATTCTTCTATAACAGTTTAGATTTGCAGCGTAGATTTAACGGTCAGATCCATGAATTGCCAAACTCGAGGAGGCTTGGGATAAAAAATGACTACCATTATCAACGGTATTCGAAAAATCCGCGGTATTTATCCTTGACCAGACGAAAAATTCATAAGAGATAAAATAAGCAGATTCTTTGTTGATGTTAATAAAATTAATGCAGTGATGTTTGATTTTAAGGTGGATGTATTTTAATTGGAGAAATAATTCTTGATGATGACAAACGCAGACCATGGCATGGTCTATCATTTAGCATGTCTATGTTGACAATTTGCTCAAGAGGACGCGAGAGGTCTGGAAAAGAATATGAGCAACTTCTCCGAAAGCATGGCTATGTTCAAATACAGTATAAACAGAGTCAAATGCCGTTTCGTCTTGGAGCAGTTTTTGCAAAAAAGCCATAGATTTATTGCATTCTTTTGCTAGTGCAAATTCAAACATTTGACGTATTTACTCATTTTCACAATCATCTGTTATATAAAAGTTATATTGCTTTAAAAAGCGTTTAACAATGCTTATACTTGTAAAATATGGCCGCGTAATAAAAGCCATGGCTAAGTGAAACATAAGCCATCTTATTTACATTCAAGTAAAATGTAATGTATCCTTTAAAGATACAATTGCTTTAAGCTTTACATGTAGCGCAGTCAACAATGATTACCATGATAATTCCATTTAAAGCCTGACGTCAAGTCTTCACTAAATATTTCGGGTGACTAACATCTTCAGCTGAATTATTGATTACAGAATGACGTCCTGTATACGTTGCTAATTACTTAAGTAGTTCCTTACATTTGGACAAATTCAATTGAACAAGTTCTCATTTGTCATCAAACATGTTTGATCAATTTGCTCTTGTAAATTGCTAGTGGCAGTTTTTAGAAAAATCTCAGAAATTCTTCTCTCGTCAACAAATTTCCATAAAGAATGTTTTATGCAGTGCGGTGTTTGAAATTAAATGAAGATATGATCATATCTTCACTTAAGTTTCCATAAACATGAACGTGAATCAGTAATAGACAAATCATTAATCTTTAACAGAAGCGGCAAGGGACCAAGTTTTGTTGCCTTAAGGAATACGTGCGATAACCATATCAAAGTTTGAAAAGCAGTCAAAATCTAAATTAACACGCGGGACCTTCCCAAGCGCGGATCAAGCTGAAATCTTGACCACGGCGCACTTTAAAATTTAGGATGCTCAGGGGTGTGGTACGGTAAAGATTTCTTCACAAAAAGTTTTAAGTTGGAACCTCGGAAGCATTGTTACCTGTATAAACCTCAATAAATTTGGAAAGTGTATTTTGAAATAACCGTCTCCAGGCACTTTGAAATGTTGGCACAATGTAATAAAATGATTTTTATTGAATGGGAATTTTTGATACACAACTTGAGAGAACGCGTCACAGCAAAACTAAACATTCGGACTGCCTTTAAGATATTCTCTTGTATATAATACAAAGTGTATCTAGAGAAGTAATCCAGATTTTCCTACCGTATCATATAACAAGATTAAGTAGGTAATATGTTTGAACAGCACAATTAATTATTGTAGACGGAGCAGGTATGCATATCAAGGACATAGCTGACAACGTGTAATTCGTAGCCACTTTCTCCACTTTTTGTAAAACTGCAATAATTTTTATCGAATTTTATCTGAATTTTCAATAAAGTTAGGAGTTAGCTACATCATTTATGTTTCAGGCAAAAGAAATTTTAAATTAACTGAACACTCTAATTGCATTTGTAATGTTAGACAGTTCAAGACTGGTGAGGTATCTGAAGTAAGCAGACAGACTCTCTTTCCAAGCAAGTGTAACAGAGCCCTGCACTGAATAGACCATTCCCAATGGTTAAGGTAAAGACATTTAGTATATAATCCTAAATGACTTTTTTTGAATATGTTTTCATTAGTTGTAAATAAATGTTTGACTAGAATGTCAGTTTCTTGTACCGCATAGCAATTTTGTGCCTGTCTTTAAAAAAAACACACTCAAATTACACCATGTCTATGAAAGTATTTCCTTTCCAAAATGTCCTTTTCTTTATTTGCATGTATTTAAAATCTTTATGCTTTACCAAATAACTAATATTTCACTAATAAAAAATAATAATAGGATCAATAAATGTTTGAAAATTCTGATCGTGGTTCGAGTCACTTTCGCCATGGTCTCGATCCGCGCCTGATTCTACGTAAATTATCTATGGAGCGAGCTTTAAGTAAAATGACATATTGATTATGTACGTGCTTTAATACAATATTATGCGAATATGTTGCTACGCAGTGAGTTTTAAGCATGGCACCATGTTATGAGGAAATACATTGATTTTAATTTAGATAAATGTAAGAAAAAATTAGTAATTATTGAATTTGACCAATATTTTACTAACAATAAATATAAGGAGACAAGTCTTCATTCCTAACCTTTATCCTAAACCGAAACGAAACATTAATTAAAGTCATATTCCTTATCGATACCCTAACCATAAACCATAAACCTAACCTACCCCAGTCCTAACCCTCTAACCGTAATCTAAATCCTAATCTTGAACTTACCCTAAACCAAACTAAATTATTAATCCAAATTATAATCCTAACCAAGCCTTAATTGTAAATTCAAAAACTTTAAAAGAACGTTTTCTAAATTTTTAAGGCTTGCATTTGTGGATGCACATGTTGAATTTCTCTAGTTATATTCGTGGAATTTACAGATTGATGAATGAAGTTAAGGAGTAGAATTATTAAATGTTTTCTTTAAGATAACGTCTGTATGCTGAATTTTACTTAAAAATAGCACAGGTCCATAGATGCCAAGGTTTAAACTTGCTCATGTGTTAGTTGCTGATACGGTGCTCATGCGTTAGTTGCCCTCGGCTTACTCCCTTGGAAATTATCTAAAATTTGGTTTCTGAAGTGCCCTTTCCAGGCATAATGCGTGAGAGTTGGTATGTATGTTGGTGGCAGTAATATATCCTTTTCAGCCTGGTTTTCACTTCCGCTATAAGCATAAGGACAAGTAAAGACAAAATAAAATAAATAATAAGGCAATCAAGCAACTGACACAAGCATAAGAGTTAGCACAGCAATAGTACATAGTGAAAACCGGACTTTACTGTGGTAGTATAAATAATACAAATCCTTCGTAGTTGATTTAAATATTATGATATAATCGTTTGGTCTGATAAACAGATCATTCCTGTTCATAAGATTAAAAGCCACGTGATAAATCTGGCATAAATAAATAGTATGGTACTGTCTTTACAAATCCAGCAATTTTTAGCGTATAGCCTCGCTTAACATTGATTTTTGTTTTCTTTAAAGTTAAAATCATCCTGTAATGATTTAATATACATCCACTGCGTAACTGCGTTTTGACTAAAATGGCATGCGGATGCGCAGTCAATTACTACGTGTGGACGGGTATTCTACAATTCAGCCCATAGTATTTAATACATAGCAAATAGCAATGTTGCATTGGTTGACCTCCAGATGCACTTAGCAACGATTGCTGTGGTATTAATAATGCACTCGAACTCGCACGAGTTCAAATCACGTCCAAGTCACATGTTTTTCATGTGCATATTAAAGCCTGTTAGATTAATATATTATATGTATTCTCTGATGATGGCTGTGGAATAAATTCGAAACACGGTGCCATCCAGAAAACTGCTATAGTGGCGAGAATCTCTCGTCCATACGCAGTTTTATGAGATTTGACTCGTGTCCAATCCCTGTGGGATTGGTAGCTCAACAGGTAGAGCGGCGGACTAGTATCCCAAAGGCATAGAATAGAGAATATATAGAAGGGCAACTCGCAGGTGAAACGCGTGGCATATTTTCTGTGCGCATGCGTTAGGTCCGCCATTACTCTGGCCAGTAACTTGACGCTGGCGTACTATAAAATAATATTGGAAAAGTGCGATTTTGGGATAATAATCGCCTAAAACGCAAAATATTTTGGAAGATCATTGAATTTTGTGACAAAACGTGAAAGAAATAAGGTGAGAGACCATTATTTTAATTGCTGGCAAGCCCGTAAAGGTTTTTTATTGGTAAAAATTACATGTTTCAATGTAGGGTGTTTATTTTACTGCTGTAGAGTTGTCAGTATGTTAGGTGAATAGAAGTCCAGAAGTAAAATCTCTTGCGTTTTCGTCCATTCTGAATTATAAATTTCAAACTTTTGAGGTGTTATTATAAATGTATTATTTAAAACACAAACTTGTCAGAGTTTTACTTGTACCAACGCTGTAATATTTCAGGTTGCAACTTGCCAACTTGCTAAACTATAAATCAAGTTAATCAACCAGCTAACCAAGTAATCCAATAATGATTCATGATTCTTGTGTGTGAATTATAACTGATAATAATTTGCAACATTCAGTTTCAAACCATGGAGGGTTTGTTTATCATTTTAAGCAGGAGTGAAATGTTAATATGTTAATAGTTGGGCATTTTTAATACCAAATGTAGTTTTAGTGAGGTGTACACTCTGTTTGCCTTATTTATAAATTTTGCCTTGCTGTGATTTGTGCTCTATTAAATTTATTACCAATAGTTATGATTGATTTTCTAATATTTTTTTCTAGTTGTTATTTTGGCATTCAGTTCTCAAGTGAGGATTATGTTGCAAGTGTCTTGTGTTATGTAGTTTTAGTATGTTCGATTAGATTTTAGTGGCTACTTGTTGCAGTAGCATGTTAAACTTTGTTCGTTAAATTCTATTACGTTTTTATTATGATTGGGTGGTTTTTGTAAGGGTGCTCTATTAAACATTGATCACAATTTCTTCAGCTTAATTGTTTAGTATACCAATATTTATAGAGAAATTAGCATTTCTTCTGCACCCCCATCTAGCTTAAGCTAGGAGAGCTGCACACCCCTCTCTTATATCCATCTCTGAATAAAGTTGTCATTAAATTTTTTAAATTCAAATATGTGTACTGAATTGCTGTATTTTATTCTGTATATTCTATTGCATGAAATGCACAAGTTCTAAATTTAAATTGTTTTGTGTTAAAGATTTTTGTGCACCATGTAAATCTTTAATGACAAAGACATGTTTTTAGCCTTGTAACCATTAAGAAAATATGATATTTATTATATTGCTGTTATTTTGTACATATTTTTCACTCAGAAATGTCTTTATCAAAATAAGTTTCCAATGTTATTCAATTCTCAAATCGCCCAAAACATTGTATATTGGGTTTGCTGTGGATCTTTCTCACGTGTGCGTCTCTACTGCAACTTTTTGATTCGAGATTATAAAGTTGTACATTTTCCATTTTTGGTACTATTCGTCGCCAGGGAGGCAATAGTGATAACCCCACTCCAACCCAATTTATGCAAGCATTTAGAAAGCTTTTCTTCAGTTCCCTTCTAACCTGTTCATCTGGAAATTGTAACAACGACCTTGATTCTATGCTGGTTGAGTATTCCAAAAATGTTGAAAAGAATAAAGTCAGCCAGAAGAAAACGGTTCAAGTCTTTCCACCTCTGCAACCACAAATTTTAGCAATTGGTCCTACTAACTACAAGGAGCCAAATGTTGTTACTAACATAATGAGGGAAAATGCCATTGCTTATGTGTCTGGTTTTCTTCTAATGAAGAGTTTCAAACTCCACTCTTGTCTGAAATGCACCAATGCTCTTTCATCTACAGAACTGGATGATAGCAGAA